CATTCCTTCGGAGATGCTGACTCGCCATTGTGTGTTCCGTGTCTTGTCTCCAACAGAATAATATGCAGAGACACTCAGAGAAGTGTGACTCCGGACAGGAACAGCCGGCCAGCTCAGCAAAAGGAGAAAGAATGAAGAGGAAGAAGCCGGCCACCCCGAAAGAAGCCCTCAAGGGAGCCGGTACCTGTTTTCAAACGGATGGGGTTTTCATTTGACATTGATTTTCTCGTTATAAACTTTCCTGGGTGCTGAGTCTTACTCTGCAGGGGACACACCCAGAAACTCTAAAGGTCAGCCCTCCCCCCACACCCCGAAAGTCCCAGTCTCGCAGGCCCGGCTCTGTTGCTGCTTCTTGCCGCTTTGGGCGGGTTTTGAATTTCATTTCTCCTCGTTTGGTTGTTGACAAAGTGGGCGTGGTCACGTCCCACCTCTCAGGAACGGGAAGGTGATGGGGCACCCCAGCTGGCGTCCACCTCCCCCACTGCACGGGTTCCTGGGGGAACGCTTTAGCGAGGCGACGTGACAAACGCACGTGCCCACGGCTCTCCTCTCCCGGGGGTGTCCCTTAGCCGAGCTGGTGGCCTGTCGGTCACCTGGCGCCCGGTGGAGCCCTGGATGCTGCCTTTGTTCCTGGGGCTGCTGCGACCCGCGACCACAAACCGCGGGGCTTAGAACAACAGAAGTTTCTTCTCTCTCAGTCTGGAGGCCAGATGTCCTCAATCTAGGTGTCAGCAGGGCTGCGCTCCCTCGGGGGGCCTCAGGGAGGGCCTTTCCTGCCTCTTCCTGCCTCTGGTGGCCCCAGGCGTCCCTCGGCTTGTGGTTACATCACCCCAGTATCTGCCCCATCTTCACGTGGCCTCTCCTCCGTGTCTGCGTCTTTACCTTTTCTGTCTCTTTAAAGATACTTGTCACTGGATTTAGGGTCTGCTTGGAAAACCCAGATGATCTCATCTCGAGATCCTTAAGTATATCTTCAGAGACCCTTATTTCAAATAAGGCCACCTGCACAGGTTTGGGGGGTTAAGACGGGCCGTGTCTTTTTCGGGGCTACGGTTCACCCCACTACGGGCACAGTCGTCTGTCGAAGAAGACAAACAGATGAAATCCAGCCCCAATCCCAAGCCCTGGCCACCTGGACCCTGTGCTCTAAGTGGGACAGATCCTATATTTTTTTTTAAAAAAATGTATGTGAAAGAGGTACCTGAAAGCCCCTTCTCAGACACTTAAATGCAGTTTGTTTTTGTTTTTGTTTTTGTTTTTGTTTTTGTTTTAAAAAGACCCACAACAGGGAATGATCCAGCCCCAAATGTCCTTGGAGCTGAGGCTGAGAAGCCGTTACCCAGAGCAGAGCTGAGATCAGAATATTTGTCCCATCCTATCCACGGAAAGATGGCTTTCTAAAACGTTTGCCGCCAAGTTAAAAATTAAGCGATCATTTCCAGAATATGTCTGCAACAATTTCTTGGCTTTATTTTAAGTTTGCCAACCCTGTGCTTTTTCCCCCCAAGAAGCCACAGCGGAAGAGCAGTCCCCGGGAGAGACGCCGCCGCCTCCCGTCACCGGCGGGGAAGGCACCGCGGCACTCGACCTGGGCGACGGCGCCACCTGCGAGATGATCCTGAGCATGCTGGACGAGTGAGAGCCTTCGGCTTCCGGCCTCCCCGCACGCGGTTCCCAAAGCGAGTTAGAAACGTTCAGAATCTTCTTCGAAACCATGAAGTTCCTGACGACGCATGGTCACAGTTTTTCCCAAAGCTTGAGAGAGTGCCTAGAACTCGTTGCCAGGTTTCGAGTGGCTGTTTAAACAAACAAACAAACAAACAAAACATTGCAGGTATTTTATTAAAGGCCCACATCTTGAATTGGAGGGTAAAACCTCAACCCTATGAATTCATTCACTTGATACTGCCAAGGTGGCCCACAATGAATCAGCAACAATATTTGGATAATATTTATTTTGATTGTAGTGTAGACTAACTATTTAGCGCTTCAGCAAACAGTCAAAGCTGGGAAATTTTATGTTGAAGTGTGCACACCCATGCTATTTCTAATATTATTATTTTTAAACATAACATACTAATTTTATATCCTCTTTTATACAAATGAATTTTCCATAACATTTAAAGCCATCATAATACTTTTAATTAGTTCTGAATTCAGTGCAAAAGACCTTAATGTTATACAGAAAAAAATGAGTAGAAAATGAAAAATTCTACATTAAACTAGAAAATAATGCTAAACCTATCTTACTCTGGAATATGAGCAAAGTTCACTTTTATAAATTTTGTATTCTTTCGTAATTATGCTCTTTGGCAGGTAGGAAATCCCGCTGGTCACAGTCCACGATTGCTTTTTAGTATACCAGATCATCGCCCTTTGGTTTCGCTAAAACAGCTTTATGTTTTTAAAATAATTGGCAAGGTGAGGAGAAACATAACACTCTGATGATGAAAACGTGTCCTTGTAAAGAATTTGCACTTTTTGTAACACCCTATACTTTTCTCTTTTACCGATTGAAGACATTTTTTCCACCTTCGAGAAATATGTGAAATGTCTCTTTAGCACTTAAAATTAAATCGTACCTATCTTCACAATGAGTCATATTCTTCTTAGCTCACCACGTGCTTTTGCTACAAACTTTTCTCCCTGTATTTTAAAATCAAGGCTCGGTCCTAAATTCAAATTCTTTTTTCAGCTTTATTGAGGTATAATTGGCAGATAATATTGTACGGTATTACAGTGTACATCACGATAATTCTATATGTGTCAACATTGTAAAAGAATTTCTCCCATCTAGTTAACCAAATTCAAATTCTTAAAATGCTCGTCTGTTAAAAATATCCCAAGTCCAGAAGCCCTGGGTAAGATGAACATGCAGAATCAATTTCTCTGCGTGAAGGCCATTATATTATTTTCACGACAGCAAATAATTGCATTCATGTAGTGAGACTTCAAGTCTGTGGTCTGTTATCTGCTACTGTTGTGACTATTTGAACTTTCGTAATCGTTTTTTATTTTTTGACTTGTTTAAAGATGTTTTGCGTAACAGCAATAAAATGATTTAAGATTATCTGTGTTCTATGTGAATAATGGTCTTAAAAATGTCTTCTCTGCATGTTGAGGATGTGGAAAATTGGAACCTTTGCGCACTGTTGTTGGGAACGTAAAATGGTACAGCCCCTAGGGAAAACAGGTAGCTCTTCAGAAAATTAAAAATGGAATTACCATATGACCCAGAATTTCATTATATAACCAAAAATAGGTCTCGAAGAGATACATGTACACCCACGTACATAGCTTGCACAATTCTGTGAATATACTTAACACTTCCGAACTATATACTTAAAAATGGTTGAGATGGTAAATTTCATGTTATATATTTTACTAGAATTAAAATCGCTTTAATTTTAAAAGAACAGGTAACATAAGAAACCCGTTGGAAAATGCGAGCCCAGTTGGTATCTAAACACCACCAAAACCTCATAAAGTCTTTTATAAGGAATTCGCAGTGTTTTGCAGGTGTGGCACCTGGATGAGATATCGTGTAGAGCGAAATTCAGATGATCAGCTTTGATTCGGTTATGTGTCTAGACTCCCAGCAAGCAAACACCTGGATAAAAGGAGAAACTCATTTGTTCCAAACGTGCATTATTAATGCATTTTATTTGTGACAGCAATTTCAACAGTGCCCACAAGAGGGCAGCTGTTCCCTTTCTTTCCCCCTGAACATCAAGACAGGTGCTCAGCTCTTCCATACCGATCAGAACTCCGAATTCTAACGCGATCTCGGCAGTTCGTTTGGTCAGTTTTGTAACATACAGAAAGATGAATAAAAAGTGGTCTGTCTGTAACAGTAACGGGAGAACTTCCTGCACTCGATGCTGCTAAGAAAGGGACCTGTACAAATTCTGGACGAGAGGACGCTCTGGTGGCCAGGGAAAGCCTTAGGACACTTGGCTTAACTAATCAACTACATTTACCCGATCACATTTTTATTGCAGTTTACTTTAATGGAGTGTATCGGATAAAACAGAGATTTGAAGGGAAGCCTACTTAAGGATGCTACTTTAGCAGCTTTTGATCTTCCCCAAGGCAGAGTCTCATGTCTTTAAATCACTGTCTTTTACAGTATGCACAATTTAGGATTTTAAAAGACACATAATGCTGATTTTTTTTCTGAGCGGTTGCAGACAGAACACCCCATAGGATGCTCAACTGTGCTCGTTGAGACAAAAACTGCAGAAAGAAAAATTCTTAACTGAGCCACGATGGCCAGAAGCCAGCCCCAGAGCCGTATAGGAAGCTGCAAACAGCGCTTGTGATGAAATTTCCCTCTTAGGAGCAACCGAATGAGCTGAAAGGCACGTTGCTGTCATTTCCTGTTCATGAAGTATGACAGGTCGTGTATGAGACCAAAGGTCGCCGATTAAAAGACTCATCCTGATGATGATTATAATTACATCCCAAGCCTGAACTATCAGAGTCGGTAGAGTAATAACAGGAAACGGCGTGCCAGACAATGAATTACTTTAATCAATCAGCGTTGGCCGCGTTGTCCTGTGGCCGTGCCTCCAGTGGCAGCCCGCGCAGAGTGCCTGGGTCCTGCTCAGGGCAGTGTCATCTGCCACGTGGGTGTGCACTTCTCCCTGTGCCGGTCCCCTGGTCACTCCATCTGCCTGGGCTGGCGGGGTTCCCCTTCCAGATGTGGCTCTGTATATGTCCCACCACATAATACACTGGCCTTCACCTGATCTGGTCATCCTAGGGGGACCCCAAAGCCTTCAAGGCCCTCGACGACCGTGGTTCAGAGTTCTCTCTGGGCTTTTGGATGACCCAGGGAGCATGTGAAAAATATGGACTCCCGGACCCCGCCAGGCCCACGGGATTAGAACCCTGAGGGGCAGCTCTGGAGAATCGGCATTTTCCAGTTTCACGGCAAAGCCACCTCCCGGGGCCCTGCTCTCCAAGCTGGTTCTTCCCCACTTTGGCCAATGTCAGAAAAACTAAAGATGCTCTCAGTAGCCGGCCCTGAGCATGTCGTTCTGGCTGCTTCCACCCAAAAGGGTGACTCAGCCTCTCTCCGTCGGCCTGTTCACTGGTATTTGCTCCAGCGAGCATGGAAGAAGGCAGAGCCCCCGGAAGCAACACGTGACCCGCGCTGTGGAATTTGCCAGGCCTTCTCCATGGTTGGGCACCAAGATCGCACACGCAGGTGACCTGGGAGCAAACGTGACAGCTTTTTACAGTGGCGGAGCGTAACCCGTGATGAGGGGAGAGACAGTGAGAAGGTTCAGGAGTTGCTATTCCAGGCTGATGGCAGATGTGTCACGTCGAGCACGAACCGTTTGAAAACACACGTGCCTGACTTTGCACACTTGTGTCCTGTGTCACGATGACATTCCGCGTTGAGTACTACAGACCCATTTCAGGATAGGAACAGCTGGCTTTTCTTAAAAATTATTCTTATCATTTGTTTTGACAGGTAGGATAATCTCAGCACGGACGGATGGACGGACGGGTGGATGGATAGATGGATGATGGATGGATGGATGGGTGGATGGACGGACAGACGGACAGACAGATGGATGGATGGATGGATGGGTACAGGTAGATGTGGCTCACATTTTTTTTTTTTTAGTTTTGTTTTCTAAGAATTCCATGAAGAATCAGAAATTAGTCACGGGAAGGTGGGGCCTTTAAATGTAAATTAGTTTATTAATCAGAACTTTTTATCTAAGTGAAGTGAGTATTACATTTCTTCTTAGTGCTATTTTCCAACAATACATCTTTTTTATCCTTTTCTTAAATATTTAAATTTTTTGAGGTACGATACATACAGTAAAGTCCCTCCTTTAAGTGTATAATTCTACGAGTCTGACAAATGAATGGCCACGTACCCATCACCACACTCAAGACATAGGGTGTCCCCATCACCCCCAGACCTCACTGTGCTCTGACTTCCTAGTGACCACCGATTCCTTTCCAACCTTGCGGTTGTCATTTCCAGAACATCATACAGAGGAAACCTGCCCCTGTGTATCTGAGGCCGGCTTCTTCCTTTCATTCACTCCATGGAAAGATTCTGAGATTCGGTCTTGCTCTGCTGTGGGTCGCTTTTTCGTTTTATGACGGGGTGACATTCCACACCCTGCTGACCCATGCACCCGTTCAAGGACATTTGAGTTGTTCCCACTTTGGGAGGATTATGAATAAAGCCGTCACAAACATCCGTGTCCAGGTTTTGTGTAAACCTATATTTTCGTTTCTTTTGAGATTTCTGGATCACAGGACAGATGTACGTTTGTAAGAAAGTGCCAGACCTTTTCCCAAAGCGCGTGTGCCACGCTGCGCTCCCAGCAGCCAGGTCTGAGCGTCCTGCGTGCCCCACATAGCTGCCATCACTTGCTATTGTCAGGGTCTGTTTTGTTTTGTTTTAAGCCATCCTAGTAGGTGTATAGTGAGATCTCATCGTGGTGTTGATTTCCATTTTACTAAGAACTAGTGACTTTGAAAATCTTTCCATGGGCTTATTTGCTATCTACATATCTTTTTCGGTGAAATATCTGGTCGAATCTTTTAACAAATTGGGTTTTTTGAGAGTTGTTTATAGATTCTGGACACAAGTTCTTTAACAGACAT